TTTTTTAGGATAGTCTAAAGATCTAAAAGGTGCATAGAAAGATTTTCAAGATAAAAAATTGAGAATCTGGCATAGCCACAAACTTTGACAGAAAACATGACTTTGTTTGCTCACCCTGTATAAGTGGATAAATGGAAGAAATATACCGGTCGAACCCTGTAAGTGTACTCAAAGAGTGGGTTAAGAATCTCCCGAATACCGCAGCTTGGTAGCTCTTTCCGTTCCGAAAATATCGAGATTTGAATTTGGGTAAAATTTTCTATGCTGCAAAGCAACAGTTTATTATTATTATCGCATTTTCAATATTTGAAAACTAAGATGAAGATTTTCTAGTTCAAGCCTTGAAGACTATTTTAACGTTGCTTGATTCACTAGCAAGAGACGAACTTTTGATTTTCGCAGACTGTACTCTTCACCAAGGTTGTTATCTCCGCTATCAACGTCATTATTATTGTATATCATTCTATTTGACTTCCATGTTCTTCTTTTTTGCAGGTAAGCGGCTACCAAACATCCATCAGTCAGCCACCGAGGGTAAGAAGGCAAATTAACGTTTTTTCCACGGATGGCTTTGCAGCCCGCAGAGTCATTAGCTGAATTTTGCATGCATAAAGTAAAGCACACACACACCGACGTACACACAGCCCCCAAATGAACGTGCGATGTAAATGAGTTTCGCTTTAGTAAAATTCTGCCGGGTTTATTCCGACATTTTCGAGTTCAAATGTAATTTTGACCATTCAGAGAAGCGCACACGCGTACATAAATTGAAATAATTTGTTGAAACTAACTGGTCGCTGAATTCCAATAGGGATGTGAAACTGCGATAGTGCGGATAATCTGTAGGGTGGTATTTTCGGTCTTATAATCAAAATCAACAGTCCAACTAGTGCTCGTGTGGTTATATGCTAAATTAGATAGCTTTTTGCCAAATGGTTTCAGAGATAACTGTAGCGCGAACTCCATGAAATATCTTACCTGAAAGGTATCTGATCGGTACCAAGGTTAGGTTAGGTTAGGTTTCTTGTGAGTGCAACAACCTCCTCCGCAGCTCCGACCTCCTGAGGAAGTCGATCAACTTGTGCGGAGATATATCCTCCAGGTTTTCTGCTTGAAGTACTGCGTCGCCATGTATGTTGTACCTGATTCTGGCAATTTTAGGGCATCTGCACAATACATGCCTGACCATTTCATCTCCATTCATGCACAGTCTGCACTCAGCGTCTTCCGCCATGCCCAGCCTGCTCATGTAGTGGCGCAATTTGCAATGACCAGTGTGCAATTCTACTAGAGCTTTGAGGCTATTCCTGTTCAGCCATGGCAAAGAGTCTGTTACCTCCTTTGTCAAGATTGGTATAGTTGCCTTAGCATGGGTTAACCATGCTAGTCCCTCCCAGTATTGATGTATCTTTCTGTCCATCTCTACAGAGGTTATTTACTTAGCTGTATTGTATGCGATCCCAATCGCTGGCTCAGGCCCTATGAAGGGTGTGCTAGCCCCACTCTTTGCCAGAGTGTCAGCTGTCTCGTTTCCCTCTAGACCTGTGTGTACTGGTATCCATATGAGACGGACTCCATTTCCCTCCCCTATGTCACCGAGAGCTTCTTTGCAATTCCACACTAATTTCGATGTCGAGTAGGTGGGGTCAAGTGCTTTAAGTGCGAGTTGACTATCTGAAAAAATAATTATAGTTCTGTGACTTAGACTTCTGCGCTGACTCTGGCATCCAGTTCTATAGCATATAGCTCTGCCTGGAAGATCGATGCCCACGTTCCTAGGTTAACAGATTTTTTAATCTTTAGCTTAGGCACGAAGGTACCAGCTGCAACACCTACCTCGGTCTTGGAGCTATCTGTGTGTGCACAGATATCTTTCCTTATTAGGTTAACTTGCTGCTCCCACTCATTTCTGTGTGGAATTGTCACTGAGTAGGGTTTAGCATGTCTTGCTATCTTTGACATTATATCAGATGTCATTCCCAGAGTGTTGTGGTTTCTTAAGCTCACCAGCATGTCTAAGGTCGGTACCAAAGTGGATGCCTGTATTTGTTTGTAGTACTTTTTACAGGGTCATGAAAAACGGCACTGGATATCAGTTTCCATTGAATTGACTTCCGAAGGACACTGTGAAATTAAATGATATTTTGATAGCATAATAAACAATGGTGGTCTCCAGGGAAAGCAACTGTTTTCTCCTTCAGATAGATAGGGACGGTCTAGATCTAAATGCATATTCTTAAAACGTTATACAGGGAGAACAAAGCCTGTCGGATGGCTTCTAACATGTGTTGAGACTACACTTCTCGCGCTTCTCTCTCGTACACATGGAACTCAAGCCGTCAGACAAATTTGGTTCTCAGTGTGTATTGTGTAATAATAATAATTCAATTCAATGGACTTTATTGTAACAAGTACATACATAAAGCACAATTACAAGTGGTGAAGTCTGCTAGTTTCCATTCATATTAACCATGTCATATAACTAATTACTTCCTAAACTAAAAATAATTATATAAAAGACGAAATGTTATCTAAAAGCTGAGGGCCTAGACAGGCTAAGTACCACTCCGACAGAAAAAGTCAGAAATCATGTATATAATTGAAATAGGAGAAAAATAACTAAGCGTATGTTAAACAGTTTTGATAGGTTTTTTTATAAAGTTTGAGTCAAATCAATTCATTAATTTCACTGTATTGTATGTGAAAGAGCTTTGAAAATAGTGTCTCTCCGAATGCGAGCTGGGTTTTATCAACCATCTGGATCCGATATACTGTTCCCGCCATTCTGAAAATAGACTAGTCCTCATATCTGTGTGACTTACAGAAATACAAATTTACAGATGAAATAGAATGTATGTAGGAATCGATAGTAACAGCATTATAGTAAGGATGTCTTTAAATGATTAATTTTGTCGATGATAAATGGTAACACATTCTTCAGCTAAAGGAAAATAATAAACTACCTTCGGTAAACTATCGTAATGCAAAAATTTAGCAGTATGGCATAGGAGCGGAGGATCTAAAGAAGGAATCTGTTTTATATATGCACAATGTCCAACCCTAGTAAATTGGCTACTTTGCTGTTAGAAAATGATCCAATTATACAGTGTCTTTCAGGGGTTATTTGGAGTAACAACCTTCAGGTTTAGTGATTGATTAACGAATTATATCTGAAGATAGCCAACCTAATACTATACGTATATTCCCAAGTTATTTGAGATGAAAGATATGTTGTAGGGTCATCTATGAGAATTTGTCCTAGCTGTATGTCTCCTCCCGCTCTAATTAGAAATTTACTTTGAATAGTCTAGTGTCTCATTGACTGCGCTGTAGTCAACTATTTATGCTATATTGACATATATCACATATTTAGCTACAGCGTCTTGTAAGAGACATTCACATTTTCAAAGTAGATTTCTAATTAGTGCAGAGAAAGCAACATAGCTGTGAGATATTCTCATAGATGAGGCAACGGTATCTCATTTCATCTCGGATAATTTTTTGGACCCGGCAATACAGTATTAGGTTGGCTATTTTCTGGTATAATATGTTAATAAATGGTTCAGTATAGCCGTATGGGGGTCTTTTACCATACCTTTAAGAATTTTTGTTTTCTATACACAGGATGTTTTAATATGTATCCAATGTTTCACAGAGCCATTTAAGTTTTTTATACTGATCTTACCTCAAGTATTCAAAGTAATTATTCTCCAAAATGAGTCTACCGACAAAAGCTTCTCAAGAAGGCGATTTATGCAATATTGAATACCTTATTCAAAAATCCAATAGCTCTTTCAATAAAGTTCAGTGGCGTAGAAATATGTTAAGTAGTGAACAAAATTTGTCAGTTTTTAAACTACTGGTGTCAGGCGCGAACATTTATGTATGTAGTAGACAGTACTAGATATTTATTTACTCCATACATAACAATAATAATAACAATATAGAATGGGCAGATAAATATGTTTAAATCCACAGGACAATGCCTGTCCATGGATCAGTTGTATGCTGAAACTTGTGACATTCCAAAAGCAAAACAATAAAGATACAAGAAACTCAATGAAAAATGTATCTCAAAGAGGTCTGGATGTATAAGACGATAACTTGTAATGAATATTTGATAGTTCAATAATATGTTGTCTTTTTATTGAGCGTATCCAAAAGATCGCTTCATTGTGGTCTTAAGAGGTATAGAGGCAGTTTTTGCACGTAATTTATATCACGACAATGTGTGATTTTATCGCGCTCGCTGACAATTTTGTGATAATAACTGAAAGTATGTAAGAACTAAATCTGCTTGACATCGAATAATCTTGTTTCGTTGTGTAAATCATCTGTTGAATATAATTTTGGGTTTCCGAACATAGTTTTTAAAGCAGTTCTATCTAAAACGTCCAAATCGTTTAAATATGCTGGACATGCTGTACCCCACGCCAATATGCCATACATCAATTAAGGCATGTAATTTTCTGTCATTATGCCCGTGAGGAATTTAAGTTTGTATGTAACAAATCTTATTTTCTTCAAAATGTAGGCTACATGAATGAATGTCCGTATGTCCCACCTCAAATGTTGATCTAAAAAAAAATCCTAAATATTTGATATTGTCCACTTCGTGAATTTTTAAATTTGTACTGTAGATTTTGGAGGAAATATTTGAATAATCGGGAGGTCTTGCGTACGAGTATATATGCTATTAATATCCGATGTGCAACATTTTCAAGACCGTACCTTAATCCAATCCAAAGATATTTTTTTTTATTTCGAAATTATAACTTCAACACTTTTGATCTCGAAGGTGGAAGCCTTGTTGTTTATCCAGGTTTATCTGAACTTTTTATCTCTAAAACATTTAAGAAATCGTGGAATACCGGGCACCTACTAGAGAACAGCCTGTAGGTATTTGAAAAGTCCGATATCCACCATCGAAATGGTTCTCATTCCTGGAGTTCCATAAATTCTTGTCTTTCAATAATTATCAGCGGAGGCACCCTACTTACCCGTTCCCCTTTATACAAAAGGAACATCTCTCATCTTAATCTTATACAATAATCTATAACGCAAATACTTCCCCAAGGATATTCGGCAAATGAAAGGACAGAAGCGGAAGGGATTGCGGTGAATCAAAGCATGAGGGGGGGGGCAAGGGAGCATTGAAGGGGTGTCCGCTAAAAGGGCGCATGGTGCGAAGGGCCGCGAGCTATGACGAGGCGCGCGTTGCCGAACGCCGCGCCACCGGGCCGTATTTATTTTGTTAAGCGGTAGCAGGAGGTCAGGTGAGGAGTCAAGGGCAGCCGGAAAACGAGTTGTCATTATTGTAAGTGAACAGTAGGTTATGTATGCGGTAGAGATGTTGGAAAAGTAACTGCTCGTTACTGGAGTACTCGTTACCCGTAGACACACGGAATAACGAGTAAGAATCGGCAGGAATAACTGTACCCTTATTTGTGTTGTCCTTTCTGAAGCGAGGTTGTGTTCAAGATAATAAATATTATTTTCTACGCTTTTTTGCGTTTTCAAAAACTTTGAGAAGCATTATGGGAAATTACCACTGTGAGCGCATTGTGTGTAATTAAACCAAATCACAGAAATATTAGGAATGACGCATCACTCACAAAACATTTTCGCAGTGCCTCACATCTAGGCGCTGATTTGTATTTTCTAGTTGACATCGTGAAATAAATGTCTATGAAACTTAAATGACTGAAAATAAAAATAATATACGACTTTATAAATATTCCTGTCTGTAGCCTGTTTTCTTGCCTGTTAGTTGTAATCCACTTCACCAACCAGGGATTTTGTTTTTCTATCTCTCTCATTTTTGAAATTCAGCAAGGAGTAAGTGTATTTGAGACAAGAAACTAAAGGAATTATCATTAATTCAATTCAGTTGAATTTATTTTCCATAGACAGATAATGCTGTATAGGAACTGTCAATACAGTAAGTCGTAAGACTAAAAAATTAAAATAATTAATAAGGTTAAAAACTACAAAACTCCGACAGACTGTGAAAACTGCTCTCCAGCAGATAACTTTTCAATTCTTTCTTAAAGGATTTCTTACTGGTTTTTACTTTTATATAATTGGGCAGACGATTGAGAATTTTCGGTTCCATTACAGTGGGCGAACTTGCAGTTGTATTACATCTGGCAAATGGAACTAGCAGTGAATTTTTTTGCCTTGTATTTATATCGTGTGTACTACCTACTAATGGAAATCTGTTTTCATAGTCAAAGACGTATAAACATAGCTGTGAAATATATAGGCACGTAAGAGGTAAAATTTTTTAAATTCTAAAACTGCTTAAACATGACTCATTGTTAAGGATACCAACAATACTTCTAACAATCTTTTTCTGCGCAATGAAAGCATTCAAAGCATGGGTAGAACTACCCCATAAGCAAATTCCATAACGGAGTCGAGATTCGATATGGGCATAATAAACTGATATTATTTTAGGTGAATTTAATACTGTACGTAGGTTTCTGAACATGAAAATAAGCGAATTTAATTTAGTTGTTAACTTTTCACATTGAACCTTCCATGATAATGTGTCTTCAACGTGTAGACCAAAAAATCTGACTGAATTGCACTGGTTCGTTTGAAGTGTTGTGCTGCCAACCGTGATGTGTACCTATATCGCCAATATGATTCTGAATGTTATGGAATCGTAGACATTTTGTTTTCTCTAAATTGTGTAAAGGTCTAAATCATGTACAGGTATGATATCACGAACGGTAGTATTACAGCGTTGAGACAAACTGTTATTATCAAAATTTCTTATAGTTAATGAGATGTCATCAGCATACATAACGTGGTTTTGCCCTAGGTCGCTTATTTTATTTGTGTACAATAATAGGTCCTAAAATTGACCACTGAGGAACTCCGATAAATGAAGTTTCTCTTTTTGATGTTAATTCATCAATCGACGTTGTTCCGTTGCTGTCGTTCAGAAAGAAAAGATTCAATCCATTCCAGCGGTTTACCTCTTATACCATATTCTTCTAATGTAGATAATAATATTGAATGATTGAAACAGTCAAATGCCCTGCTCATGACAATAATTACAGTCACAGGGCATTCGCCCATCTCAATACTTTCCAGGATGTTAATGTAATATTCATTTAGCGCTGTGAAGGTGGATTTTCCTGAGCTAAAACCATGCTGATGTGTCATGATGATTTTACATTTGTTAATAAAATTGTTAAATCTGTCCAGAAATGCGAATTCGAATAATTTTGAGGTTTCAGGGATTGTTAGTGGTCTATAGTTTGCTATTGCATGGGGATCGCCTTTTTTGAATAAGGGAATTACCTTACCTGTTTTTAGATTTTTTGGGTATACACCTTGTGTAAAAGACATGTTAATTAAATACGTTAGTGGTATTGATATTAAATGAATAACATTTTTTAATACAAATGGGGGAATTTCATCAATCCCTGCTGTTTTTTTATCCTTCAATTTAGTATTCAGTAAATCCATTAGTTCGTTTTCACTAAATGGAAATAGGAACATCGTATGCGTATTGGTATGCCGGTTGACTGCCGATGTGATACTCCTCAATGCTTTAGCAGATTTGGCGTGATTAGCAAGTTGTCTTGCAGATTCAGTGAAAAATTTCTTGAACTCAGATGCAATTGCAGTAGCTTGGCAGATTTTTCCCGATCCAGGCTTAGCGAGATATTATAATTTTTCTTAATAGTAAGTATTGCTTCAATAGTCAAATAGAGACAATTATTGCTGAGTGTTACAAAATATTGGGCTTTATTATACGCTGTGGGTCGTGGGTTACAAGACATTAATACAACTAAGCTTTTATGAATACTGCTCACTTGTTCGTTCAAAGCTTGAATATGCATCAATTGTTTGGCAGCCTTTCTATAACTTTTGGATAGATAAACTTGAAAATATCAAGCGACGATTACTAAAGTACGTACATTTCAAGGAAAATGGCAGATACCCGCCAATTGGCTACACTCAAAAAATGTTAGAAGAAGCCTTTGATCTACAACTTCTCTGGGACAGACGTGATAAGTGCTCCGTTAGTTTTGTGCGTAATACATTACACAATTGTGTGGATTGCTGCAATATATTGCATAAATTTATTTTTCTTGTTCCTCATTTAAATGCTGGCCAATTTAATACTTTTTATTTGCCTACCCCTAGAACATACGTGTTAAAGTTTTCTCGACTATTTTACTCTTGCGGTAGGGCTAATACAGAATAATTGTGTATATTTATGTGAGGTTTTGTCTGTTTTTTGCTTTCTTATTTGAGCAATGATATTTGTAAATATTTGTTAATAGCACCTTTTTATGTGAACTACCTACTCTTGCTTGTATTATGAAATAATTGTTTTTTGTAGTTCGACTGTGTCCTACTCTGTAAATGGCTGAGAATGATTAGTGAATATGCTGCCGTGAAGTATATTAGCTGTACTAGATGGGTTATTTGTGTTGTCCTTTTCGAAGTGAGGTTATGTTCAAACTAACTGTTAGTTGTAATATAATCCACCAACCAGCGGTTTTATTTTTTTCATCTCTCTCATTTTGGAATACAGCAGACTTACATATATACGTATGATGTCCAGGATGAAGCATACATCTCAAGTAAGTGTGTTGAGATAAGAAAAAAATTTTTGTGATACATTATTCTGTACCACGTCAAATCGCCGTACGTACGCGCCTATTTATAATTGCTAGCTACGATAATTGCGCATTTTTCGGTCTGTAACAGTAACAAATTAATAAATCATCACTCAGTAGAGTAACGATTAGTCACGAAAATCAACATCCCAAATATACGAAATGCTAGCTGCGTAGAATAGCCTACTGCAAGTTTACGATCTATCATTCTTATGATGGTGAACAATATTAACAAAACATGAAAATGTATGATGTCGCATAGATTGGCAAGATATTTTTTACGCATTTACAACTTTACCAGTAGACAAACATTCGTTCAACGTAGAGATTTTGCTACGCGCAAGAATTTGAATCTGGCACCAATTGATAACAAAACGACTTTCCGTTAAAGCTGTTCAATTCAAGATCTGGTTTGTGTATCACAGTGAGACTGACTATTCAAAAAATGTTTTACAACTCGTCCTGATTAAAAGCTCTCGTGGCCACAGAAATGCTTTGAGTATTCACGTCTTCAACAATGTCAGATCTGGGAAAAATGATATTCAAAAGCTAAATTTGTTGAAATTCGAATGAAGGCACAGAGTATTTTGGGCAGATGTACGTACCTCTAATGGTTAGGTATCGTAGCAAACTGTACTGTGTAAATTCGATGGGCGATATCGTTACTTGACCCGCGATCATTTCAGAAATGTCGCATTAGTTAATGATTGAAGGATTATAACCTCGCGAACTACATCTATATATATATAGTAATGTCAAAATACGTGTTAGCTGCATGTTACTTCCTGAACGTTTTACGAAATAATTTTAATAAATGTGATAGTCGCATTCATAAAAACAGAGAAGTTCATAAGTTCAAACACGTAATCAAAGCAGAGTCGAGGTATTTGGACTCGCTGATCATTAAAGCCCTATGTTATGATATACAAGTATTATGAACCTTTTTCCCGAAAGGGCCTATTGAAATACGCAATAAAATGTGGTACATCGCACTTTAGAAAAATGCAACAAATTATGCTGAATCATTTGACTTTGCAACATTTTGTGAGTGCTTTGGATGATGACCATATTAACAGAAAGGCCGGATACTGGTAGCATAATATCTTATGGGCGGATTTTTGGCTTACGTTAATCACCGTAGTACCAAGCACTATTCCATCAATTTCTAATGTCTGGTTTTTATCTTGGTCTCTATTTACGGGACTATTATGGGTGGAAAGTGAAAAGCCAGCTCGATGGTTCAATATTCGTTTGGCATGTCTATAGGTGAAGTCGCCTCTACAGATGGAGAATTCTACTCCATTGTCGAGAAACTCAGTAAACTTCAATCGATTTTGTGATTGCCTGTGTGCGCTCCCCACTTTAATAAAGAGCAATAAAGC